TAGGCGGGCTCGCAGCTGATAGGTGGAGATAAGCCAATGAGCGTCTAAAGCCCAGGTATACGAAATTTGCATATCTGGTCAGTGATAACGTATGCTGCGCTGAGAAACAGGGCAGAAGCAACAACAATCACAGTATTGTGAGGGGGGGCTGCACAGAGATAACGGTGTTAAGCAGCAGTATAACACATAAGATGATGATGGTACACCAATCGAATTAGACATTGAATAGCAGGAGCTGCACTGAGTACAGGGCAGACAACAGCAACAATAGCATATAGGGCTGCGCAGAGTAATTACTGTGCGAGGCAGCAAACACACAAACACACATGAATAAAGGTAGCATAAACGTGAATCAGTCACTCACCGGCAGCACTTGGGAGGCTAAGGACTGAGCGTCCAGCTTGTAAAACCTGGCGAAGGTATTCTGAGAAGACCAGCCTGCTGCAAAGCATATATACATAGACATACCTCTCGACCACGACCAGGAGGAGGCGATAACTCTTGTTGAGTGGGCCCTAATGTGCAAAGGCCATTCCAAACCTTGGCTCGTATAACAGCCGTATTAGCGTCAACAATACAGTGGGAAAGCCTCCTTTTTGACACGGCCAGACCCTTCGCACAACCACCGTAGCACACGAAAAGCTGGTCAGATTGCCGAAAGCTGGCCGAACGGTCAATGAAAATACTCAAAGCCCTGATGGGGCACACCGAAATCTGAGCGTCCGCATCACGTGAGGTCGATGACTCAGAAGACAGGGCAGACAGCGAAACAATCTGCGCTCTATAGGGGGTTGATTTAGGCATGTAGCCCGGTCTCGGCCGGATAGTGACGCTGCAGTCACCGGATCCGAAGCAAATACAATCGCCGTCCACAGAAAACGCATGTAAATCCCCTATGCGAAGTCCACGCCGTCCAAGGGGCTCGAGATTTCAGCCATAACTGCAGCAGGCGCATGTGTAGTAAACCCAGATGACATACTGATGCCGCTGCCGTGAGTCCCAGCAGCCTCTGACATTACTTCAAGTGAACAGAGCTGCCCAGTCTGAAATGTTGCAGGGAAGACAAAATGGCCGCCGAGCTCTCCCAAGAGAGGCGAGCGCGCATCTCCACCGAGTCGAAGCACACTCTCAGATACGTTATAGACTGACTCGGGGCGAGAAGGCTCTTATGCACATTCACACATAGCCCCAAGAACTCCAAGTGACGAAACAGTTTGTCTATATGGCTGTCTATAGTGTGTCCCGTATCTGAGCTAAGATCAGCCAGTCATCCAAATAATTGAGAACGCACATGCCGCTCGCTCTGATGGGGGGCGAGAGCTGCGTCCATGCACTTCGAGAAAGTGCACGGAGCCAAAGCCAGCCCAAACGGGAGAGCAGAGTACTGGTACGCTGTGCCTCGAAAGCAAATCTCAGAAAGCGTCTGTGATGCGCTGCTATCTGAATGTGAAAGTACGCGTCCTTTAAATTCACGGACGCAACCAGTACCCGGGGCGAATTCGCACCAGGATCTGTTTTATCATCCTGAACGCACACTTGCAGAGTGCTCTGTTGATGGGCCTGAGATCTAGAATCGGGCAGAGTCCTGCATCTCTCTTGGGCACCATAAAATGGCAGTTGTAAAACCCGCTCTCTAGCTCGCTCAGAGGGACTCATTCTACCGCTCCTTTTTCGAGCAGGTTGCATACCTCTTGTCTCAGAACCAGGGCATTTCGAGGCAATGTTAGAGACTTCACCACGCCGTTGAAACAGGGTGGTCTGCGTCTAAATTCTAGGGCGTACCCACGCTCTATCACACCGAGTAACCAGCGCTCGCTCGGAGGGACTCGTTCTACCGCTCCTTTTTCGAGCAGGTTGCATACCTCTTGTCTCAGAACCAGGGCATTTCGAGGCAATGTTAGAGACTTCACCACGCCGTCGAAACAGGGTGGTCTGCATCTGAATTCAAGGGCGTACCCACGCTCTATCACACCGAGTAACCAGCACGATATTCCCGGAACAGTTTTCCACGTGCTCAGGGACTGACATAGCGGCTTTAGCGGCTTAGTCGTTGGATGCGCCGGTGAGTGCTGCGCGGCTATAACGTGTGAGCAGCGGCTCTGCACCGCTCTGAGGCGGGGCAAGCGGCGCTACATTGACTGAGCGAGGAGGAAAGAGCTCTTTTGTGCACATGTATGCATTTTTTAATGATCCCACACACACATCAAACACAAATTTGAACAATTTTGAGACAGCTTTGGGGCTGGGCCCATTTCGTAGGCTACTCTTCCCTCCTCTCCAGGCTGTCAGGACGACGGCTTGGCAGCTGACGGCAGGCGGGAGTCACGGCGCGGGCTCCTCCGCTTGCCGTGGTGCCTCTTCCCGTGTCCCTTTACACTTTTCTCCGCACATCCAGCTCCTGGCAGCAGCGGTCGCGGGCCTGGTGTCCCTGCACTGCGATGAGCCGTGTGCCAAAGAAGACCTCGATCTCGCGGCATAACAAGGCTCATTGCTTGCATCTGCGCCTGTCACTACAGACTGTGAATGGCTATACGACCTAGTTAAACACCACTTCGTAGGGGCATGAACAACTGGCGTAATAGTTCAGCGAAATCTGGAAGGGTGATAAGACGTGCGCCTGGGCATCAGGTGGCTCCTCGCCTTTGCGCACTTTTCCAAGCAGGGGCATCAGGTGACTCCTCGCCTTCACGCGCTTTTCCAAGCAGGGGCATCAGTCGACTCCTCGCCTTCACGCGCTTTTCCAAGCAGGGGCATCAGGTGACTCCTTGCCGCTTTACTGCTGGTGAGTGGGTAAGCAACTGAAGCACTTGTCGCCGCACTGATGAGGGTCTGGTATCGTGTGAATAAGAGAGCAGTGTCTTCCAAACACGGCAGCTGCTGATGAGGGGCTGGTATCGTGTGAATGAGTGAGGAGCCAGTGATTTTGCTTTGCACACAGCAGAACGCCGCTCCCAGGCGGGGAGCTGCACACTTTTTAGACAGTGGGTCGTGCGGCATCTGCGGCGACATGAGAACCCTTAGCTCCAGTATCTACACTCGGCTCTCCGCTCTGCCATGGAAGGGGGATGTGAGAAGCCGGGCTGATGTCCTGCAGGTTCGATGGGTGAGAGGAATGCGGACATTTTGTCGGCATGAAGTTAAGTGTGATAAGCTTAAGTGAGCTGTAATAGTTTATAAGCCATATTCTTAGGTTATTCAACAAAGTGAAGGAGAAGATTCTGATGTAATTGTCGCACCGCATTTTATACTGCCTCTCGAGCGCGTCAGGATTTGCATACTTCACGACAATTGGCCAGTCATTTGGACTGGCGTGAGCCAATAGGACTTCAGGAAAGGTTGGAAGGGAAGGAGTTCCCATAACGGAGAAATGTCTCTGTGATGTCTCGTGAAAGCTCGAGAGGGAACGTTAGGATCCCACTCTAGATTACTCGCGGGATGTTTTTCGTGTCACTCGCGTGAATAAAAACAGCGCGATCAACCATGCCGAAGATAACTAAAATCGCTGTTTTGTACCTGTTGTCAAAAAGTCCCAAATACAACGGAAAGCCAAACGCCGACGTGTCTGGGTTCACAGCACCATCCAGAGGAGGATGAGTAAAGTTAGGATCCTGTATTAATGTGTGTGTTACATTTTACTACTGTACATATTCACTGATATTACTATTATTTTTATTATTGATAGCAGCATCTCTGTAGCCATGCTAATAAAATACAACTACCACTACAACTGATTTGAATTGTTTTCTATGCTCCAGACCTATATAATAACAGAAGGCTGAAATAATGCTCGCTTCTATTGTCTGATTCAACTGGACGTGTCAAGAAAATCTTCACTGATTGGCTTGCGCGAGAACGCGTCATGCGAATTTTCCACTTGAGTTGAAATTTTTGAACTTGCGCGGAAGACGCGATTGAGGCGAAGTATGTGCAGGCGTGATGTGATGGCAGCTCTCGTCAGAGGGTATATTTATACATGCAGGTCTAACTTTCAGTTTCACTTTAAATAACAGATTGGAAAGGAAAGGAAAGTGTTTGTCATCTCTCATGATTATAATGGGTGCAGGTCAGCATTTTCTCTGAATAATTACATTTCCCAAAACAACTGTTTTGATAGAAAACTTGGAATATAGCATTATGGAGTTACACCCTCATGTGTTTTTTCTTTGCAGATCTATTAGATTCATTGGTTCAAGTCTTTACAATGTTTTTGTGTCTTCCATAGTTGATAGTCAGTGCTAGCCATACCTTAAAAAAAATGAAAACACAGAACTAAACATGCAGATTATTATGACCAATAATATGTTATATCTTTTCTAAATAAATCTTGCCTATAAATGTCTTGGTCATATTTCAATTCAAAATCAAAAGAAAAATATTATTGGCATTTTACACATACATGCATAACATATTATTTGCATAAGTTGATATATGTCACTAAAATACTTGTATAACATGTCTGATTGACAGAGCCATGGTAATAAAAAATAATAAGAACAAAATTGAAATGATACAAATAAAAGGATTCTTTATTATGGTAATTTTGAAATGGGACAAGTTGAAAAGAAATTAGGACTGTATGGAGAAAGTATGGTAATTGTATGGAGAAATTATATGAAAGTGAGAAGTAAAAAATTATTTATAAAAAATTACTGTTTTTGAATCATTCACCAAATAAGCGTTTCTTCCTTAAAGCCTTGTGAAATCACAATAATGCCATCTCAATTAATTACTGAGTACAGCAAGAAAACACTTGGAATTAAGCTGATTTAATCCTTAAAACATTATCTCCATGTTTTTTTTGTTTTTTGTTTTTTTTGTTTGTTTGTTTTTTGTCGCACTGTATTTTAAAATGTTTAAAACCAAGTAATGATTCATAAAAAAGACTCAATGTGAAATAAATCTCATCTCATCTCTCTGCTGTTTCGATCATGGATGGTTTTCCTATAAAGCACATGACTTTCAGAAAATGGATGCTGGCTACAGTATAAATATCTAATGATCCATTCTTCTAGTTTTTCTGGACAGCTGAAGAAAGACGGACGGTATAACTAGATCTATTTTACTGAATTATGATCATAAACTGAATTATGTCTGATCACTTTACTTTATTAATGAATTTTTAAAGACTAGATTAAGGACATAATATTTTATACACATTGCATAAGCAATATGTGTATTGAATGCTAACACTATTGCTCTTCACATACACTTTAAATTTAGTGACACTAATAAATTTAGCAATAAGGTGGAGAGAGAGAGAGAGAGAGAGGACCACATTAATATTCACTGACATTAAGTTTCGGATTTATTCTAGTTGTTTTGAAATGAATTATTTCCCAACAATTGACCTATTTGAATTAACATTATTAAATAAAATGGGGTAGAGGTGGGGGAAGAGGTTGATGGGGTTGGTTTAAAATAATTTTGAACAAGGTAACTGTTACTCGGTTCTACATAACGTTACCATCCGACTGAGGTAGATTTTTTTTTAAATTATAAATCTGGGGGTTTATAATAAAAGTGAAAGTGAAAGTGACTGTGTGGCCACGTATGGTAACCCGGGGTAGCTCAGTCGTGGTTGCTGAAGGTGGATGAGAGAGCTGTTCATTCACTCCCCCCATCTACATTTCCTGCGTGTACTGAGACTCGAACCTGCGACCTTCAAAAAGTCCAACTCTAAACATTAGGCCATAAGTGTCCCACATAATTGAATTAAAGTTCCACAGGTAATCGAGCAGGGTGGGTCACTGCATCTTCTCATATTCCTAATGGACACACAAACACAGAAAGGGAGAAACACAGAA